AGATCTACATCATATTTTTGTTTTCCTTTAAGGTTTTAGGCTAGGTTTATTTGATTAAAATAGAAACCTGACCTAAACCCTTAAAAAACAGGATGAGGTATGGACGTAAGGATCGAACGAATCCATTATAGATACTTAAAACTTGAAATTGATGAACTAATTTCGAATTTTTTGCCACATCCAAATTTATCTCAAGGTTGATCGGAGGTCATAAAATAGTTCAAATGATTGAATAAACTACGCAAATAGTTACAAATAAAACTAATTCACAGAATACAGATTACATTGCCTTTAACCTCTTTGCATTCTTAAAATGGCCAAACCCATTTAGAAGGAGCCGGCTACACAGCCAAATGGTGAACAGTCATCAGTGTTCCCCATAAAGCTGCTACTGCTGAGAGGCTTTTCTCTGATGAAACCGACATCAACAACATGTCGAGAAACGACTTTCAAGATGTGCGTGCGCGAATTATTTCAAACCCTCTTTCAGATTGCTGCGTTCAATAATAGTTGCTGTTAATAAAACGAATAACAAAAATAGTGCAAAATACAGGTTACGGTGTCAAATTTAAGGGTATGTACGACAGTGTCAAATCCACCTGACTTCAATCAATTTTACAGTTATTTGCGGCTCTTACATTATCTAATAATATATGGCTGTTCTGAATCTTTGTAATATATTGTTATTACTTATGTTGTTGTTTAAGTGTCTTTGTCTCAGTGACTCATAGTTTCAAACAACAAACAAAAATAGTGCAAAATACAGGTTACGGTGTCAAATTTAAGGGTATGTACGACAGTGTCAAATCCACCTGACTTCAATCAATTTTACAGTTATTTGCGGCTCTTACATTATCTAATAATATATGGCTGTTCTGAATCTTTGTAATATATTGTTATTACTTATGTTGTTGTTTAAGTGTCTTTGTCTCAGTGACTCATAGTTTCCAGCCATTTGTAATATCTAAAGATGGTTTGCTAAAACACTTGGAATTGTGGTGAATATTTGCTGCTGTGGTGGTTACAGTTAACAATTAAATTTCATCATAAACGAAAAATTGCCTACCCCACAGTCTTTAAAGAATCTTTGCGTATAGTCCAGTAACGTTTTCAATCTAGCGTATGCTGCAAGATTAACCAGATACATCCATCGAACGTAGACAGTTCCAAAAGGAAATATTACGGTTAGAAGGTCAAATACGAAGTATGTAAAGAGATACCTAAAAACAACGAAAGATTAAGTGTGTTATTTCTTATAAATCATCTACTCTATAAACACTATGATCCACCAAAATTTGGTCTGTTCTTAATCCGAGTGCTTACCGTCTTACAATTTTCCCGTGATTAAATTCAATGGTATTCGTGTTCGACACTTTGTATGCTGCAAAAAATTCGGTAACGACCCAAAGCAATTCAAGAGGAAATATTATTCCATTTTCGAGATAAGAACCAAAAATCTACAAAATAACAATGGTTTTATGAAATATTTTATGGAGCTTAAATATAATAATACATGATCAGTGTATTTACTTACATCCACGAAGAAGTAGTGAGCACGAAAGATGTCTCCAAAACTTGCGTTTAGAGGAGAACTTACAATTTCGAATGTCCACAAAATTATAAATAATAGTTCTCTCAGCATTTGAACATCACTGTAAGGATGGATGACGTAGTAAAACGGGCTTTTAATGTGCCGCTTTTGTTCGGCCATGATCTGAGAATTATTTCTATAGTTTCTAAAAGGAAATAATCGTTCTGTTATGTCATCCTCTGTAAAGACCGACAGATGCTCAAAAAATACAGAACATATCTACTCCTTACCTTGTGCTAATTGCTGCTTTTGGATTGACGGTGATTAATTTTCTAAGAAACCTTAAGAATTTTTTGTAAAACGGAGCATTTGGGGGTAATTTTTCAAACCCAGTTCTGATCGTTCTAAGTTCGCATAAGTGAACGCCGGATTTCATTGCAGCAATTCACAAAAAAAAACGTCGAGCATCGAATATCTGACGTTTATGACAAATTTTATCTCCCTGACAAGCTGTTTCAACTTCAAGCGTATTTAGTTGCGTAGCGCCCATATGTATTGTTTTGACGGGAAAAAATTATCCTAAAGGTCGTACCCTTTAATATTGACAACACAACAACATTAAAAAATTGTCATTTATTACAGCCCAAGTAGCAAAATCAGTTTTATGAAACTTCTATGAAATGCAATATAATAATAACGCCCTTTACAGATCTAATACAGTTATAAAATTATAATTATAATATTCTTATCTGACGTTTAAGTATTTTATAAGATGTCTTGCAGATTACACAGTCCATATATGTGCTTTATGATCATTATAATTATATTTATTAACCATCCTATACAGCGATTTAAAGCTACTTCAAGAATAGATTTAAGTAATACACATTACAGAATATCTACACTTTTTAAGTTACTTTCTATTGTGGCGAAATCCACAATGAAAACATCGAATAAAAATTACATAATATATAATTAAATATGTATTTAATAAATCATAATTAAATAATATGTATATGAATAATAGAAATATGTAATTTTAGAACTTTTACAAAAAAAATTTCCGTACCTAAAAATTTTCCTGCCCAGCAGAATTCTCTGATAAAATATATAGATTGTATTAAAAAATAGAACCAGAGAAAAGTCTCTCCCTGACACCGACAAACGCCCAACCCCATAGATCAATATGGCGTTAGTTAATAGTTGTTAAATTATTATTTGTCAAAAAAATCATTACACGATGTTTTATTTAAACTGTATGAAACTCAATATTTTGTAGAGTGGTTTATATGCACACTATAACACAATTTTTCAAAGAAACAAAGGACCGAAATTTTATTCATTTTATACCTCAATTTTGAATTTGAATTTGAGGTAAATATTATATAAGGCACTAAAAGCAAACATTTGATAAAGACACGGTGTTGTCGAAACAACATGTAATAGTCTAATGGCATTTGACGCACAAGTTTATTTGACACGAGTGGAGCGAATTTTTAATAAACGAGTGAGTTAAAAAGTTTACCGAACGTGTTGAATAGAATACTTTTTCTACGACCGTTAGTTTTTGGGGACATTTTCGCAAAACAACACGAATACATTCAGTGACATGATCGTCAGAATTTACACACGTCAAAATTCAAAGCGTGGGAAATACCTCCGAAAACGGGTAAAATCCCGGAAATGTCCGAAGTGGCTCGGATAAGTGGGAAACAAAACTGTCGTGGTAAAGTGGCGCTTCCCGCACGCTACATCGGTGTGTATTTAGGTATTTTACAGACGGGAGTAGAAAAAAATATATAATTTGGTGAAAATCTGAACTTTTAGTTCTGATTTATTTTGATAAATGGATTTTCATCAAGTAAAAGCCACCTCAGTTCAAAGCACACACTTGTTTTTTACAACTTATGAAGTGACACATTTAACCAAATATAGGGTGATTCAGGGTGGATGGAAGTTTCAGATTAAACGACGTAGCAGCGATGCCATTTTGCCGTTTCTTCGAAAAAGTAGCATCAACTTTGATATTTTAAATGAGCCACTGTATATGATTGAATTTAGCGTTCCGCCATCAGCTTCTGGTTATATTTGTACGTTACTTCCGAATATCTATTGTAAAGGTTTTTGTTGTGCAAAACATAACTTCAATTAATATTTATTACAGTTATATATTTCAAATTGCGGAGAACTGACTATAGCTATAGTTTGCAATATATAATTATGCAATAGTTTTTTTATGAAGTTATAGTTTATGAACCCTATATTCTTATGTTCCTCACATATCTAAAGATTAAGTACTCTGAAATATAAAAAAAGGTTTCTATAAAAATTACCATATTTGCCTTATCAATTCCATTGAACGTTTGCAAAATTGTTTCGGACAAGAAACACGCCACGGGTGACTTTTGTGCAGACTAGGCTATCCAAAATTCGAAAATACCCGATATAAATCACAGATTTTTTTCCTGTAAACTTTACCATCCGATATCTGAAAAAGTAAAACGTTTAGGACATAACACGATTTGTATAGGGCCATAAAACAGTTTTCAAATTTTTTTTTACTTGAATTCAAACTAAGCAAATTTCTTTTACAGACAAGACAAGAAACTTTAAGGCCCTGTTGTACAGTGGCAGTTCAAGCACAGTTCAAGGTTAAACCCAGTATAAATATGCAAGTCCAGTGTACAAAGTCAGTTCAAAGCTAAATTCGGTTCACTATTTACTAGCACGGACATCTGCAATCGACAAGAACAGAATGGAAGTAACGTAAGTATGACAAGTAACTTTAACGCACGCTTATACAGTTGTAGTTCAAGCACAGTTCAAGGTTAAAATCATTTTAAATATGCAAGTCCAGTTGTTCAAAGTCAGTTCAAAGCTATACTTGATTCGCTATTCATTATTTTGTGACGTCCAATTGGACTCCGCTTAAACCAAATTCTACGATCTATATGACATAATATAACCTTAACATTATTCAGTATTTTACTATTTCACAATGTCCTGTGATTTTACCTAAATTAAGAAATCAACTCTGGATCCCCAATTTTTTGTCTTAAATTATTAAAGTACCCCAGTAATGGCTCAAGAGTTCCGAGAAAATATCTGGAATTAACACATGGCGAACACTTTGTTGAAGCAGTAGAAGTGGTTTCTGTGGTGAGCATTAGACATGGCGGTTTAATCTCCGTTCGACAGAATCCCTTGCAATCGCCCTCAAAAATTCTGAAATTGGTTTCCAGTATGTGGATTTAGTGTTTTTAGTGTTCAGTGAATGTTTTAAAGTTATAATCGTAGTCGGCCCTGTCGTTTTTTCCTGTTTCTCGCTGGTATGGTGGCCGGATGGCCCGGATGGTACGTGGTTGTAGCGGTTGGATGCCGGTTTTTTTGGTATCGGTCAAAATCCTTTTTTGCTAGCTGAGTAAGTATTTGTTATATTTTTTCTTTTTACGTGTTGGTGAACAAAAGCGAAAATTCACGACGGAAGTCGGCAATGGGCGATTGATCATAGCAATCCTGCCCAACTGAAATTGGGATACGCATATTAAATTGAAATGAAGCATTAGAAGTATCAAGAAGGTAGCATTGCACGCGGCGGTTTAACCTCCGTTCGCTCCCGACAGAAACCCTTGTATTCGTCCTCAAAAGTTTGATATCAGTTTTCACTGTGTGGACTTAGTGTTTTTAGTGTTCAGTGCATGTTTTAAAGTTATAATTGTCGTCGGCCCCCTCGTTTTTCCCTGTTCACGCCGGTATGGAGGCCGGATGGACCCGGATGGTCCGGGGTGGAAGCGGGGGGAAGCCGATTTTTTTGGTATCGGTCAAAATCGTTTTTTGCTAGCTGAGCAAATTATTGGTTATTTTTCTTCTTTCTACATGGTGGTCATTGACCAGAAGCGAAAATCCTCGACGGAAGTCGGCAATGGGCGAATGATCCTAGCAGTCGAGCACAAAAGAAATAGATATTGACTATTTTTTTACTATGGAAAGATGATAATTTCATTGAAAATTTCGACTTTCTAAACTGTTCCATTTGTTATAAAGCATAAACATTGGTTGAAGAGCAATTCCGAGACTGTTAAGGTTTTTTTCTTTTTCTCTTTCGAATTCTACTAATTTTAAAATCCTGTGGCATTCGAACCCTTTTTGATGTGAAACGTGAAAAAAAAGAAGAAGTAGTATTCTATGGTGTGCAATTAATTTTAATATATGTTTATTTGTTTTTGTTGTATGTTAATTTTACAAAAAGAAATCTTATTTTGGGTGTAAAGAAGGCGCGGTAAAAATAGTAACCTCCAGATGGACGAATCACGTTTCTGTAGACTATGTTTAACCACATCCTCAATATTGTATTCCTTATTAGATAATAATGGTTCAGAAATGCTTGAAAATCTAACAGGAATTAAAGTAATTATAGTAAAATATTTTGTTTCTCTTTTCACTTGCTTTCTAAAAACTCTACTTTTAGATCTGTTTAGATACCTATTCCACATATTCCTGTGTAAAATGTTGGTTAAATTTAAGATTAGCTCATCACATTCAACAAAACTTTCTTGAATCTGAGAAGAAACTTCATGAAATGACTCCCGAAATAATATTGGATAAAGAAAGTGATGTAGTTCTAAATGATGGCAATGAGACTAATGAGGCTACTGAAGGAACCCATGCTCCTATTATACAATCTATTAAGTCAGAGTTAGAAGAAGATTCAGCTGAATTTATAATTATTGAAAGCGATAATAGTCAGTTTAATGCGTTTTGCAATTGCTTAATATGTGGAGTAAGTATGGAAGATGACCATGAGTATTATTCCCACATAAAAGAACACTATAATGAAGAACAGACATGTGAAGATTGTGGGGCCACTTTGGGTGATATAACTTCTTACAGAGACCATATCCTCTCAAAACATACAGTATTGAGTTCAAAAACATGGAAATGTAGCATATGCCAGCTTTCCTTCCAATACAAACCTTTGTATAATGTTCACCTAAGGTCTGCTCATGGTGAACTATTGAAAACCAAACAAAATCAGAAAGCAACAGGAGCTGGAATAAAAGACCAGCTCAAATGTCTTGAATGCAATAAAGTTTTTTTGAAGCGTAGTGCTTACTCTGCTCATGTTAAGGGCAAGTGACAATTTATTTTTTCTGTTAATTTGCTTAATATTTTTTAAACATGAACAATCTCAGTGGTATTTTTTTTTAGGTCATACAAGAGTAAAATGTCCAATCTGCAGTGCAGAAATTACTAGGTTAGTTACCTTTTGGCCTTAAGTGAGTAGTAGCTGTTGTAAATTCAATTATTGCCATTGACATGGGTGCTTAAAAACATTTTCATGTGTTTTTAGATATAACATTAGTAAACATGTGATGTTGCACAATTCTGGTCCCTCTGTCTGTCACCTTTGTGGTGTAGAATTAAAAAACATTGAGAGTCTCAGAGGTCACCTGTATTATACACATTCTAAGAAAAGATTTTCTTGTGAACAGTGTGGAAGAGTTTTTTCTAAGGCATACAATTACAAGATCCACATCAAAAAAGAACACACAGGTATATTATATATATTAATCATCAAATTCCATTTCATGAATTATTAAACCCAATTTAGGTGAAAAGGGATTTACTTGTGATACATGTGGAAAAGGCTTTTTTACTCAGTACACTTTAAATAAGCATGTAAAAATGACTCATCTAAAGTTACGCCCGCACATTTGCAAATATTGCAAGAAAGGATTCTCCAGTCGCTTTGCTCTAAGAACTCATGAGAGGCAACACACAAACGAAGCTCCATACATTTGCGATGTGTGTGGCGAGGGCTTCCGGCAAAAAGTGTCGATGAGAGCCCATAGAAAATCAAAACACAACATCATAGAATTGAAAAAAGTTAAATGCCCAACTTGTGCCAAAATGTTTATAAATGATGTGGCCCTTAGAAGCCATGTAATGAAAAGGCATTGAGTATATATTTAGTTATCCTTTTGAAATGTAATTGGAAGTGTTGTGCTAGATTGTAATAAATTATTTTATATTATTTTACAATTTTAACAATTTATATGTTATTAAAGAGAAATATCACCCTTTGATGGTAAGAATTTGGTTTAATGAAGTTATAAAGGAGACAAGTTAAATTAACAGAACAAAGATTTCTTTTAAGCACTGGAAATTTCGTAAATATCTATGAAGTGCCATAAAAATGAAGAAAAAAATTTTTATAACCACAAATTATCCAAATAGAAAACATAATTTTCTATATCGATCGTAGGCTGCGAAAGTTACTTTTTTTTATATTATTACACTCGTAAATATAGGTTCGCGTTTTATTTCTAAAGATACAAATAATAATAAAAAAAAACATTTTATCTCAAAACAAAGGCAAAGGGCACGAGAGGGTACAAAAAAATTATAAACCTAAAGCTTTTGAGGATTAGCGTGCCCTCAAACACGTAGTGACAAAAATAGTCCTGATTATAGAATTTTATGTTAATGAGGAAACGATGTAATAGCAGATACAACATATCAAACCTGTAAAATATAAAAAGTGACCGTGACAAGCTAGTTCTCTTTTCTAAGAAGAAACAATATCTCTGACCCTAACCTAATATCTACTTACATTATATTTTCTATAAATGTTTTTACAAAAAAGTTGATTTTGTATGTTGCTCCAAAAATGGCGTGTTTTAAAAGAAATAGGTTAATAGTTTTTTTAATTGCACTTGTACTACAAAATGGTTTTTGTGTTAGGATTTACACAAAATCTGATTTAAATAAATTAAAGTAAGCAACTGACCCGGATTTTGATTCTTAATCTCCATTAATATCGGTAAATATTAGGCGTATTAAATAATTTTATTTTACTAGAAATGAAGTTCAACAAATGTTTTATCATGCTTATGATAGTTACCTGAAATATGCGTTTCCATATGATGAATTAAGACCTATTAGTTGTGATGGTACAGACACCTATGGGAGGTAAACAATCCCATGATTTTCTACTAAAATTCCCATTGTTCTTATTTTGTAGTTATTCCCTTACACTAATTGATGCTCTTGACACATTGGCAATTATGGGAAACTATACTGAATTCCAAAGGGTGGTCGACATATTATCAATGAAACAAGACTTTGACAGTAATATAAATGTTTCTGTGTTCGAAACAAACATTAGAATAATTGGTGGACTTCTCAGTGCACATCTTTTGTCATATAAGTAGGTATATGATGATGAGGACTGGATCTTTTTACTTTGTTGTAATATAATGTTGTCGTAAAGAGCAGGTGTAAAATTAGAGCCCGGGTGGCCTTGCAATGGGCCATTGTTAAGACTTGCAGAAGATGTCGCCAAAAGACTATTACCTGCCTTTGATACTAAGACAGGTATGCCTTATGGTACTGTAAATTTGCGAAAGGGAGTACCCAAAGGAGAGACACCTGTTACTTGTACAGCTGGTATAGGCACTTTCATTGTAGAATTTGGCACTTTGAGCAGATTGACTGGTGATCCATTATATGAGGAAGTAAATACAAAAAATTTTTTTGATTAATTATAGAATATAGATTGATACTCTATAGGTAGCCATGAATGCATTGTATTCTCTTTTTGAACATCGATCAGCTCTTGGGTTATTTGGAAATCATATTGATACTGACACGGGACATTGGACTGCTCAGGATGCAGGGATTGGGTCTGGCGTTGATTCCTATTTTGAGTACTTGGTTAAAGGGTCCATATTACTGCAAAGGTAGGTCTCTATACTGGGTGTTTTAACACAAATGCGAAAAAATTAAGGAAGTGATTCTTTAGTTAAAATATGTGGTGTGATATTGTTTTGTAGTGTCTTTATGACATTTAATATTTTGTTCTATCTAATTTTGTGTTCCAGAAAAAAAAATAAAAACATTATTTTTCCGCTATATTTGTAGCGCAAGGATTGGCTTTTCATCTTGCGTTTATATAACAAACTACCCTTTATTTTTAAGAAGGCATCGCCCACTTAAGTTTTTCATATTTCTTTTGAAAGGATAGGTATGGTTTTTATCATATTTCTTGATTTAATAAGGAAGCCAAAATAATTTTTTGCTATTAAAAATTTTAAAAAGGAAACGAATGAATATATGTTCTGCTTCAGAAATACATATTCACTTATTAAAACTTGAAAAGTCAATAATCAGTGTTTTGACTAATTTTTAAGGCCAGAACTGATGGCAATGTTTCTTGAGGCGAGGCAAGCATTTGACAAATACCTAAAAAAGGACGATTGGTACATGTGGGTCTCAATGACCAAAGGGCATGTAACATTACCAGTGTTTCAATCACTAGAATCTTTTTGGCCTGGATTACTGAGTCTTATTGGTATGCCACGCTTTTTTTATCTAAATATATGGAATTTAAATTTAACTAATGAATTGAAAATTGGGTATATATCCAAACAAAATCATTACATGACTTATTATTTCATTTTTTGAAGGTGATACTTCAAATGCAATGGGTACACTTCACAATTACCATCAAGTATGGCACCAGTATGGCTTCATCCCAGAATTCTATTACATTACCCAAACGGAAGCTGGTACAGGAAAAGAAAGCTATCCTCTCAGGCCCGAACTCATTGAGTCTATCATGTACTTGTATAGATCCACTGGAGATCCATTTTTGTTGCAAGCTGGAGAAGATATCCTTAGAAGTATTCAACATAGTGCAAAGACTCCTTGTGGATTCGCCACAGTTAGTCTAAAAGGTGAAAGTATAACTTAGTATTCAAAAATATTTATTTTAGATCAAAGATGTAAGGGACCATCGCAAAGAAGACAGGATGGAGTCTTTTTTTCTCTCAGAAACAACAAAGTACCTTTATCTGTTATTTGATACAGACAACTTTATCCATAATCAGGGTCAGCATGGCACTCTTATCAATACACCGAATGGAGAATGTGTTGTAGATGCAGGGGGTTATATTTTCAACACAGAAGCGCACCCAATAGATCCTAGTGCTTTGCATTGTTGTCACAATATCCCATCATACAATCTTTACAATTTCAAAGAACTTGACAGTAAAAAGTACCTTTTTAGAGGCATTCCGATCAGTAAAGCTCAAGAGAAAAGTGAAAGTTCAAGAAAGTCAACGAATTATTCTGAGCCTTCAGAACAAACTGTTGGATTAAATGTAACTACCTTAATCACTAGTGTTGAAGTTTCAGAAAATACGTCCTCAGTTATGGAAGGAGCAGCTAAAAATATGTCAAACAGATTGGACTTGTTAATTGCATACAATGAAATGTTTGATCCTCAGCTGATGCTGGAGAAATTCAGAATGCAAGATAAAATTCATAAGAATACAAGTTGGGAGATGAATTATGAATTGTTAAGCTGCACAGCGCAAAATTTCCTCCATAAATTGAGTATTATGGGAGAGTTTTTCCAGTAATTGTGTTCTCATAGCATTAAAGTATAAATTTTATATTGTGTTTTATTTCCCTGAACTAGTTAATTAAACAAAAAGATATATTTTTAATTTTGCATTTTTCAGACAGAAACTATTCTTTTTTTTTGTAACGTTCCACGGACACTTAAGTCTCAAGTATTAAACTTAAACTAAGAGCTTTAAAAAGTTGGCAACTCTTATAGAATTCATTTCATTTATTATATTTTGCAGGTTTTCTAAAAGATTTTATTAATTGTTGATTTTAGAAAAAATCAATAAATGTGGATGTCATGGATGAATAATATTAAAACTTTTTTTTATTAATGACAAAATTTCTTTTATAATATCAGTCAATTTATGCTAAAGTATAATAATATGTGACAAAACAAAATATCAGTCAAGTAACAACGAATTCGAAAGGATAAATAGGGCTATTTACTAATGGTTAAGATAAAATCTGGTACACACTGCCACATTATCGGAGCTATTAAGAGAGAGATTCAAGCGCTTAGATATTAAGTTAGAAAGAAACGGCATAAAACTACTTTTAAAACAAAATCAATAATCGAAAACCTGCAATATTTTTTATACCCACTAGGTAAATTTAATTATAGGTAAATTTTTGTAACGTTGTTTCGTCCATATCTCGGTTAAATTTAAATTTAAATGAGTTTAAAATTAAATGCGTTACCTATGTCCATTATAATACAACTGAGAGACGGGTAAATTCTGTCTTACATTATGTGTTTACTCTGCCTCTGTTTTGAGATACATACATTTACGTCAAATAACGACAATATTATCTAAATAACTTGTAAGTTCATTCGTCAAAAAATCTCTTTCGTTGGTTTAAAGTAGAAAACTCGATTGTAATTACATTTTTTTGAAAAATTTTACCGTCTGAACAAGGTTAGATCGAACCGTCGGTTCGGCCCGAAGTGAGCCGAACGCAAAGGTTTAATAAGTTTATTATATATTTGCTTTATATATTTATTAAAATGGATCAAAATATTTCCGACGAATAATGTGACTAACGCATTCTTTTATTTTGATTGATTAACCTACATGTATTTATCCTATCAAGAAATGCTTTACGAAGAATAAATTTATTGAATTTTGTGAGAAAGTTATTCGCAGCGTGCGCCGTTTCAGGCTGTAGTCGTTTCGTCAAAAGTATCCGGTCGAGTAAATCTTGTGAAGTGATTACGAAAATATTAAGTTTGTAACTATTATTTTTGTTTATATAATTCGGAGAACGTTTTCAAAATAGTAATGAACGGACTGGAAATTACCAAAGAGTTAAAAAGTGACATCGAATCAAATCAAAATCAGTTACAAAATGCTATTCAAAATCATCAGGTAAGTTTTCGACTTATTTTTTTTCCTCACGTCTACTTTCCGATCAACTCACGACAGCGCGTGGCTGTGTATGTATCGAATAAGGACAAAACATTAAACAATATTATAGAACTTCGCTGCCCTTTGTAAACTTTGTAAATGACTTTTAATATTTTTTTAGATACAAGTGAAAAAGATTAAGGACGACCCATATGTAAGTAATGCGACTTGTTTCTCCATGCGCAATGGCTATTATTTCCTATAAATCTTTTAGAATGACGAGTTGCTATTGGAAATTAAACGTGTTGAAGAACAAATTGTCTGCTTCGGATTTGAACAGGTGAGTCT